CACATCCCACTGACCACTGACCTCCAGTACACCATCCCACTGACCACTGACCTCCAGTACTGCATCCCACTGACCACTGACCTCCAGTACTGCATCCCACAGACCACTGCCCTACCGCCACAGGCTACAACCACTGACCACTGGCCACCATGCCCTGCATCCCACTGACCACTGGCCACCATGCCCTGCATCCCACTGACCACTGGTCACCACGTACTGCATCTCAATGACCACTGGTACCACAGGCTTCACCCACTGACCCCTGGCCACCATGCCCTGCACCCCACTGACCACTGGCCTCTACTTGTTGCATCTCACTGATCACTACATACTGCACCCACTGAGCCCAGGCCACTAACTCCCACCTGCTGCATCCCACTGTGCCCACACGCTCTGACCAGCAAGTCTTTCCTCTCCTTCCATCCTGTCTCTCTGCCTGTCTGATATCTGTCTCGCCCTTCCTGAGGCTAAAGGTCTCTTCAGCTCCTGCCCTCTTGTCTTTCTTCCCCCTGCACTTACCCCAACACACACACACACACACACACACTCTGCCTGGACCTGTCACCCCCCCCCCCCTGCCCCTGCTGACTCCTGCCTGGTTCTTTTCGCTCCCGCAGAGTTTCTCGCGGTCGGACCGGCTTCTGCGGCACCGGCGCATGTGTCAGGGCGGAGGAGGGGCCAAGGTGGAGGCCCCGTCCTGCCTGGAGCCGCGGTCCTACGCCCAGGACCCCAACCCCCCTCCCACGGCCTCCTGGAGCCCCCTGACGCAGACGCCCCCAGGCCGGCTGGCGGTCTGACGGCCCCCCTCCCCCCACCCGTCGTTGAAGCTCGCAGCGTCATGCACTCTCACGCCGAACAGGGCTCAGTGGCGCCCCCTCAGGTGACCAGCAGTACTGCAGCTCCAGCAGCGGGACTCTGGGACTGAGACGAGACGGAGACGATGCCGCTTCACCAGCTCATTTCTCTGTTGATAGATGTCTGGGATGTTTTATTTTTTTGTACTTTTTTTAATGTTGTTTTCCTCGGGTAAACGTTCTGTTTTTAAAATCTCGTTTTCCGTGCTGCCGGTGGTTGCGAGGGCAGGGGTGGGGTTTGCAGGAGCGGCGCAGTACTTCGCTGCGTCTTGAACACCACGGCGCCGATCGATCTTCACGTGTTGGGAAAACTCGGAAAATAAAACCGGGCTGCCCTCGCGGCGCGGCTGCTCCGGGCTCTCGCTCCGAGCGCAGGGAGAGCTCCGCGACCGGGACCGCTGAGGGGGGGTCCTTGGCTGAGCGAGGGCCCTCTCGGCTCCCAGGGGAACAGCCGCCGCCCGCGGGGACGGCGAGGAGCGCGCCGCCCTCCCCCCGGCGCTGCAGAGCATGGTGGGAGGGGTGGGCAGGACTGCATTCTCCCATGAGTGTGTGGGGGTGTGTGTTTGGGGGGCGGTTGGGCGCTGCGAGCTGAGAAACACAAAGAGACCATTAAGGGATCCAGTGGGGGTGGGGAGAAAATAATTGGTGATTCCAAATTTCTGTCAACAAGGAGAAGAACTGAAAATTCATAAAGCTGAGATGACTTTGCTTGCGGGCACAAATGAAAACATAAGAAAGTCTGCAGACAGGAGGGGGGCCCTGGCTCTTTGGGCCTTTAGCAGCCCATTGGCATGGGGGTATAATTGCAAGAGCAGATTGTACAACTGAAAGACCAGGACGTTGGCAGCGGGCTGGCGTAAGTTACATGCCAGCTGCAGCTGATGTCATTTCCTGCCTGTGGGGAATGGAAACTCTGAAACTCTCTCTGGATCAGCGTCCCCCGTTGTGTCCGGCTTACTGCTTGAGCAGTGGGCGATGGGGAGCTGTGTTTTTATTCGGATGCGCGGCAAGGTACACTAGTACGTTAGTGGAGGTCGCCTGTGGGTCAGAGCAGTGCCTGTCCTGCTGGCACAGCACTAGCTGAGCCCTGCGTGTGTGGCCTTCAGCGCAAACTGAAATCACTCAGGATACAATTGCAAGTAGGCAGCTCTGGCAATTTCAGTATTTTTTTATACAATATGTAAGTATTACAAAAGAGTTTTGTGGCCTTCAGAGACAGTGGGCTTTTTTAGGTACAGCAGTCTGAAGTCTGGACAGCTGTTGGCAGTGATGTTGCTCCCTTCCAGCCAGAGGTAGTCAGGTGCGGTCACTGCTGGACCTTGTAAGACTGGCTG